ACTGGTCCAGTAAAAATAATGCTGCCATGTCTAGGAGCAACCCTGCAGCCCCCTGTGCTAAATGTGCTGGGACTGGCAGTAGGACTTGCAATCAGTGCGTTGCAAAATCTTTCTGCACCAACCTGAGCTTCATGCTTGGTACATGATGTCAGATTATGTTACAGTGAACAGATTAATTACAGGCCTTGAAAATATGGCCACAGATTGAAAGCAGGGGTCCCAGAATAATAAACAACTATGCTGATGGCCAATTATTGGCCAATGCAAAAGTGCTGCTTTGAAAGCTGTGGAGGCTGTGCTTTTGCTTTAGAAAAAGTGGCAGTAGCTCAGCTTGGGAAAATAAAAGCCAACAAAACAGACCAAAAAAACCCAGATGTGTTATAGGGTAAGGCACCTGTCCTAGCCTGAGAAATTAATATCTATCCAGTACTGCACTGTCCATAGTCCAGGCAGGAAGGCCAAGGGTTCTAAACTGTTCACAGGCTGAAAGACTGTACAAAGTGAGATTGTGAACCTGAGGGGAGTTGAAAACAGAGGTCTATTTTGCTTCCTTCCTTATACTGGAGGATTCTCAAGCTTGGTTCCTTGGCAGCTATGAGCATCTGCACTAACTACAGTATATTGGATACTTGGATACTCGTGACATAAATAGGATATGATTCTCAAAAATCAGACTGCATTGAGTATCTAGTGAGAACTACTGTTAAAAAGGTAAACATATACAATGTGTGTTAATGAATAAGGTTGGTTTTTTTAAGTTTAAAACTAACCTATCAATCTTCTAAGTCCATCCAAGCAATCTGTAATTACTCAGGGAAAGGCTCACGCCCCTGCTGAGTTGCAACATAACCACCCAGTGTTCAAGGGCCATGTGGGACATGAGTTAAACTACTACTAGCACATTTGTACCACGTTGCAGGCCACAGGAGATTAGCTAAAGATAACTGACAGTGTTACTGAGCTTTCAACTTCATGCTTTAGTCTGCTTTCTAACCTAACAGTTTATTCTGCAGATGCGCTTTTGCTACAGCTAGTCTTAAAATGAGGCATGCATCTGACTTCCATACATCTCAGATTACAGACATCTACCTTTACCTACAAAGGAAGTACAGAGCTGTACACAAAAGCACCACAACAATACAACTAATAAACTTGGACAACTAGAACTATGATACATAAATATATTCAGCGTACACTTAATATTATGTGTACAAGGATCTTGCTCTCTTTACTGCCAAAGTCTCCACTGAGGACAATCAAGAAAACAAAAACCCTCACAAGATGCCATCAGAGAAATCTCAACATTTTGACACTAAAACAAGTCTTCGTAATAGTGTTTTTTCCCTAAGCAAAAATATCTCACTATTTACTGGAAGTAAATGAAATATTTTTACTGAGAGAGTGGTGAGGTGCTGGAACAGGCTGCCCAGAGAGGTTGTGGATACCCCATCCCTGGAGATGTTTAAGGCCAGGTTGGATGGAGCCCTGGCCAATCTGATCTAGCAGCTTGCATCCCTGCCTAAGGCGGGGGGGTTGGGACTTGATGATTCTCCATGTCCCTTCCAACCCAAGCCATTCTATGATTCTGTGATTTACAGAGAAAGATGTTTCTTGTTTTCTTTGTTCTATCAGAAAAGAGTCTAGTAAGCAGTGATAAGCAGGAAAGCATCTAATTTGGCACAGCAGAGAAATCTTCTCTGTTAATTACAGATACTACTAAACTAATTTTAATCATGTTAATAACAAAAACTAAAGTTAGAATAGCTGCTAAAAGACCTATAGGAATATAAAGACCGCCAAATTCCTAATCCTTCAAAGGAACCAAGCATACCTTTAAAACGTGACAGTATGTATTTGTCTCTCTTGTGTTAGAGAGGGATGTTCCATACAGAGGCACATACTCCTCTCTAAGTCCTCACACTCATTAGTATAACAACGCTGGAGTTAGATAGCAAAGACACAGCTCACAGCCACTTAGCTCAGCAGAGAAGGAAATTATTTGTTCTCTGCCACCAGCTAAAGAGGACTGACAAGTACGGAGGTGAAAATCCAAGCACGGAAAGCTGGCAGGCCATCTGTGAGCCACCCAGCAGCGATCTATGAGCAATTCTTGAAAGCCAGACGTACACTTGATGTTGCTGGGCAATAAAACAAGAACCAAACGCAGAAGCAGCGTTAAGCCATCAAAACGCTCACGCCCCCGATGCTAACTCGCGACACCTGGGATCCGAGCGGGCGTACTTACAGCCTGCTCGTTTCTCATTCCTATGTACTTGATGCCAGCTGCCTGCGCTGCGACCGCCACCTCGGTGATCGGAATACCGACAACGCCGAACATGTACTCGACATTCTAAAACGGAAACGCCAGAGATCAGAACGGCTCCCAAAAGACGGCTTAGAAAACACGCGCCAAGCACGAGCCCCGCGCTCCTACTTGCGCTCTGAGAGCCTCAGCGATGAGCTGAGCGCCGCTGAGCTCCTCCATGCCGCCGCTCCTACGCAGCAGGAACACGGAGCGCCGCTCATGTAAGCGCCGGAGGTCGCGCGGTGACCGGCAGGCCACCCAGCCAATGAGACAGCGGAGGAGGCGGGATTAAAGGAGACGAGTCTCCGCCTCTCACCCAGCGGGCAGGCGGCGAGAGGGCTCCTATTGGCTAGAGCGGGCACCCAATCAGAGGGCGAGAGACGGCCGCCGCCGTGCGCGGCCGTGCCGGCAGGGGGCGGCCGCGGCGCGTCGCGTGCGCGACCGTTAAACGGCAGCGCCAAGGGGCGGGGCGGAGCTGTGGCGCGGAGCGGGGCGGAGGACAGGTGGGTTGGGGCGTGGGGCTCCCCGTTGCCGTGCTCGTGAGGAGAAGCGTAGGTGTAGAGCCAGGCCCTCCTCGGCGTGCCCTGCTGACCCACGCCACTGGCGCTGCCCGCTTCGTACAGTGCTGCAGTGACGCGGCGTGCGCTGCCGGTGCCGCCGTCCCGGCTCGCTGCGGCCCAGCTGGCAGCGCTGAGTCCGGCTGTGGGTAAAAGGCAGGAAGCCAGAGCGAGGTTACGTAACTGTTACCTACGGAATGAACGCTTAACAAGAATGGAAGCGGGAGGCGTGTTTACTGCGAGCTGTAACATCGTTGCCAAAAGAAAAACACCATAAAAACACGTAATTAAGAGTTAAGAGACGGCAGGGGATTCAAAATCAGCAGATGGGAGGAGTCAGTGAGGAAAGAAAAAGGTTAAAGTGGGAGATGGGTCACATTTTTAGATCCACATTTGTGTGCTTGTATGCTTATGTGGAGGCTGCTCTGAAAGTAATGCCTCCTATTTTATTACGTTGGCAAGTGATGGCAGAAGTGGATGTTGGTGGTATGGCAGCAGAGGGTTGAGCCTTCCCACCAGTATTCCATTCCATATTGTTACCGTGTGACAGATGGCAGCACAGGGACAGCCTGACAGAACAGAATCTGACGTGGAAGTGTGGATGAAGCAAAGGCAGGAAAAATGGCAACCAATGACATTGATCTGTGCTTGTTGAACATTTTTGGAGACCAGCCAGTGGATGAGGCAGTGCTGATGTGTTTCAGCAGTAGCAGCAGCAGGTCACCTCTGCTGGTGGAGATTTTATTCAGCATGGCATGCAGGCTCCTGTTCATCACCGTTGAAAATGCACTGCTCGTGGTGGTGACTATGTTGAAAAAATAGTTTTTTTTTCTGTTTGTTTGTTTGTTTGTTTTTTCTCTAGTTGATAATTTGCTCAAATAGTTTTAATGTAATCTTTGTTCTATGGAAATGAATAGGAGGCATTACTTTTGGAGCAACCTATGCGTGAACATTGGCAACGTTGCATAACATGTGAGCATAATTCAATTGAAGAAAATACTTTTATTTCTTAGCAAAGTCAGTACTTTGGTAGTTATCACTGTTAATATGGCTTACCAGGCATTTGCTATTACTCATTTAAGAGGACCTGGATGAGTGCTGCTTCACGGTCTATTAGATTCTTCTAATTATAAAAGTCCTAAGAAGCAGAGTGTACCCTGCTTTGCTCTCTGTACAGATCCATGTATGTTGAGAGTTGGCAAACTGGTAAGTTTCCAAAGTCATTGTAGAACTGGTGTCTGGGTGCTGCACTTATTGTGCTGAGTGGATGGTTCTGATAGATTCAATAGAAAAGTATCCCATGCTGTAACCGGGGGAAACAATGTTATGAATTTGCATCTGAACTTAAACAGCAGCCTTCTTACCTTTTGTGTAAGTGATGTAATGAATATGCTGCAACTGCATGCTGGTAATACTGCTACGAAATACCTGCAGGTGGGTTTGTAAGACAATCATACTGAAGCACAGCTGCCAGGCAAGAGACTGTGTAAATTACGGGAACGGGGAAAAGAAATAAAATTATAAAGCATTTTGGGTTATTAATTTTTTTTTTTTTTGAGTGACTCAGGTGAGCTGACAGCTCTGTAGATCCTAAACAAATTATCCTCTCTTCAGGGAAAGGATTTGTTAGATAGCATAATGCTTTCCATTAGGGAAATAAAAAATAAAAGGATGTAGCTGGGACTTATTTGGAGTTTCACGTAAAAAGTGATGAGTAAACCCCAGTGGTGTCCTACCTTTGGCTGGAAATGTTACTGTCCCTAAGCCCTGGAGCTTGCCGCTGCTCTCCTTGTTCAGAGCACTGTCTTTGCTAGCAAAATCCCATTGTTTAAGCTATCAAGAAGGGGAAGGGCTTTAGGGAGCACTCCCAAGGCCTCAGTTGTTCATGGAACTAACAGGTAACCTCAGCCAAGGGTAAGAGCTTGGGAAACATTTTAGTCAGTAAATTACCTTACTTGTCACAGGTTCAGCTGGATGAGCTTGTACAGTCAGAGGTTCACTGCTAAAGCTCTTGTGCGCCTAAAAGAAGAAGGGCTACTACAAAATGTTGCATTTCACCAGTAAGCCTGGAGAATTCTCATTTTTCAGCCATGGTTTATTTTATGCTTGTTGGAAACATTTGAGATACTGATGTGAGTCCCTTCTTTTTTGGATGCCCTGTTAATGTTCTGTGTTGGTATGTTTGGTTTATAAGACATATCTAATACATTGCAATTCAATCCTGTGATCTGAAATTCTGCAAGTTTTTCCATTGCTAGTAGAGAAGAATTCTAATTACATCTTAGTTGACAGCTTTGTTAAGGAATGGCTGATGTGAACCCATTCCTGTCCTAAATAGGCATTTTGGCTCTGAAGGAGTGACAGAAAAGATAGTTTTGTCACTGAAGTCCAACAGCATGTTTATTTTCATTGGCTTCCTTAACAGTGAGAGGCTTCCTTTCTCTCTACTACTCCCTGCTACTGCTTTATATATTTTCTTGCACCTGGGTATTGCTAAATGCTGATCAGATTTCATTAGCAAAGTGGAGAGCTGTGCAGGACAAAGCTGGAGCCTCGGGTTTTGATGTGCATTGCCAAATCACTCCCCTTAAAGACTCCTTTCCTTGAGGAGTGCATTGTAGAATAGCAAGAGGAATTTACTGTACATCACTGTCAGAACTATTTATATAAATGGAGTATTCTTAACACAACTGTTTCCAGAGATGCCAGTGCTGTATTCTATTTTTATGCTGCTTTAGGTAATTTAAGTTCACTGCTGAAGTCATGTATATATGGGCACACAGTCAAATTCAAGGTCAAGAAAAACAAACATAACGTTGAGCTTAGTGGCACTGAATAGCTAAGTCACACCTGGCCCCTGACAGGCATTATTGCATACTAGAACGTTTTTGTTATGCAAACAAATCTGTTGTCTAATCACAAAGGTTTTGGTTTTCCTGTCCTACACAGGGTTGTGTTGCTCTCAAACGAGTGTTCCATGCAGAGCTTGTGGAAATGAACAGGTGGTTTAAATTAAAATGTTACTTAGCAAATGCTTTCTGAATGGATTCCTGCACACTTCAAATTGCTCACTGCTGACTACTGGACAAGTTGGCATTTAGGAAAAATGAGGGGAGAAAAAAAAAAGAAGGAAAAACTATACCAGTATTGAGGATTGATTATCACCTGCTTTTCATTCTGGAATTGAAGCTAGTGTGCTTATGCTTCCTTTTTTTTAAGTAGAAAACTACTTTTGATGTGACATGAATAAAAGTGGGAGCAGTTTAAAACTGGTCTCTTTTTCCCATTGAACTCCTCCCAGAGAGAGCTAGAGAAAGCTTGTCATATTTGCTTTGGAAAGGTCAGGGTGTTGTGGGTCACAAGGATTGAAAAACACAGTATTTTAGCACATTCTTTCCTGGATTAGTGTTACCAAAAAAGAAATACAACTAAAAAATTGGTAATCGAACTTGAATACCGGAGGCCTATCTAACACCAGCACACCTCTCCTTCATGCTCTTTCAACTTTGGTGATATCCAACATTTAATTTCTTAATGCTACTTAACGCAGGTAACAAATACTGAACTCTCATTACTGTATAAGTACAGGATCTAGTCAGGGTGTCAAAAAGGCTACATGGGGAGCCCATATTGGAGAGGGTGCCCCAGCCTTCCAGGTTCTGTAATTCTTCATTTGTTTCTGCTGCTCAGCCTCTGAAGCTTGGAGCATAAAGGGATTTCTCCAATGTGTGTGTTTTTTGTTGTTGTTGTTGTTTTTTTGTTTTTAAGGAAGCTGCTATTGAGGTCTAGGGAATTGAACCAGGTGGGAAAAGAATTAAATCTAAGAAAAGCTCAGTAATGCATTTTTTTTTTTTTGCATTTTGTTTGGATTCTTGCTTTGTTGTTATTACCACAAAATGTGTTACCTTACCTGTCAGCACTGTACAGGAGGAACATGGATCTGAATTGCATTCAGCATTTTTATACATGTTGGGAAAAAGACAAATGAATCTATTTATCACATGTGCAGAGCTAGAATAAAATGAAAATTCAGAATCCATCAGGACAGCCACTCCTGTGATAGGAAAACAGATAAATGCAGTAGTTTCAAATTTTTTTGGCAGTTATCTAAATGGATAAAATGGTATATGCTGTTACTTGTCTCCTAAATACAGTGTTCAAGTCATTTTAGGAATTGCTACTTGTAAAGCACCAGCTACTTGTAAACTTACCAGCTGGGGGAGAAAGTGCACATTTGTGAGCTACTTTTAGCTTTTCCCAGAGATATTTTGTTACGTGGTGCAATAGATCTATAGACAAACACGAACTAAAGGGAGATCAAAGGGACAGTGCAACTACATATGTAGCAAAAAGCAGTTTCTTAAAGCAACATCACAGATAGATGTGCATATTGTGTATTGATAGAACTTCATTCTATCAATAAACAATATGCATGTCTTTGGTCAGGAATTTAAAAACAACATGCTCAGTTCAAACACTGCAGAGTCTCCGTTACAGTCCATATTTAATATGAAATTTAAATTCCTGGCATGAGTTGTCATTGAAGATCCCCCTCTCCTCCACACCTGTTTGGGTTTTTTTGCTCTAGATTTATGGCACACGACATGGTGGATCTGTGCTGGAAGCTGTCTGTCTGCTTTTTCTGCTGTCAAGTTGTCTCAGGAAGAGTTAAGGAGGAGGCACATTATGTGGCTGCTGTGTATGAACATGAGTCCATCCTGAGTCCTAACCCAACAGCCCTCATTGATCGACAGTCTGCGCTGGAACTCATGGGCAGAAACCTGGACATCTATGACCAGCAAGTAGCGGCTGCTGCAAGACAGGTAGCGGCTTAGCAGCAGTTGTGTGTGTCCTATGTATATATACAGTAAGTGCTATTTGAGGATAATCTTTCACATTTGTGTTCCCAGGCAACTACAGCCATATTTATATACATAAGTATGGTCTGTTTTTTCAGACATTCTGACCTGCCAGCAGCTTGTCTGACTTAAGTTATTCCAAGCTTGGAAAAAAGTACCTATAGTTACTTAGTATAGGGAAATTAATTTTCTATTTTAATCTGGATACCCAGCTCCTTTCTGTTTTCTTCAATGGAATGTTTTTATTAAAAGATTGTTTTCTGTCTTTGGCTTTGGTTTTATTCCAGCATTCTCAATGGAAATTCCTGCATGTTTCTAAACACTGAAGTTTAATGCCTTGGAAATGAATGTTCCACCATTAACAGCTTTGTGGAAGTAAAGTTTTCCATTCCTTTCTCCTTCCCTCTGTGGGCTGGTACTCAGTCTAAATATATTCCGAGGAGAAAGAGTGGTATTTCTGGCAGTTCTTATGCACAGCCTCCTTTCCCTTCCTCCTGAAGAAGTCTCAACATGGTTCTAGCCCAGAGGAAATAGTCTTTACTGTCCCTATGCAGAGAAGTGACTTGCAAGTTACACAAGTTATAATTTTTTTTTTTTTTTGAACAGAACAACTACCATTTTTGCATAACTTCAGAATGTGGATTTGTTTTTGTTTGAGAAATTCAGGTTACAAGGCCTTGCAGTCCAGAAACACAATAGCTATTTTAATGCAGTTCTGTAGCTGAGATAACATAAATGATCCCAACGCAGTAGCAAAGGTAGCACATTTGAACTGACTTCTGAGTTGTGGGGATGTGAGTGATTGATGCTCTGTCTGATTTAAAAGGAATTAATATTTTTTAATAACAGCTGTTCCATAATTTTAGGCAGTGCCAGCCTAGACCTGTGATGGCTGCATGGCTGCTAAAGCATGTACTGCTTCCACAGTCAAACTGTTTCTGAAAACTACTGCCAGTGCCCTCTGCAGCCTTATGTACCTAACCGAGATATATAGGTGATATATAGGCTGTGCTCAAGTTGTGCTGCACCTTTGATACAGTTGCTGTATATTTGATGCAGATACTCACCTCTGATAGACTTCGTCCACAAATGGCATAGTTCTGAAAACAGGTCTTTAACCTGAATGATAATATTCTCATGACTCATGTAAAAGGAGACTATTTCTGGTAAGAATTTAGATGAAGTTTGCTCATATTTGCACTCTCTTAAAATAACACCAAATCAGTTATTTCTCAAGGTAAAGTTAGGAGTCAGGTTAAATGAGTTTGTTTTTTAAACACAGTTACACTCGCTGTGTTTGTTAAAGAAAGGATGTTTTCAAACAACATTCAAATCAAAACCTACTTGAGTTATCTTAACTTTCCTTAGCTCTCCTTAGCCCCTTTTTATTTTTTTCATTTCATACTTAGGTCGGTTTTGCTTTTCCTACAAAACATGCCTTTGTTTTACACACAGGGGGCACAGATCATTGTTTTTCCTGAAGATGGAATCCATGGCTTCAACTTCACAAGAAGATCAATTTATCCTTACTTAGACTTTGTTCCACATTCCGACTCTGTGAAGTGGAATCCATGCAGAGAGAAGTATTTGTTCAGTGACACAGAGGTAAATATAGGAACGTTTTCTGTAGAGAAGGGGAATAACTGAAAGCTACATTTGTGCTCCAAGTGCACAAATCTAGTTTTGCTTAGGGAATTAAAAATGAACTGTAAGAACTCCTAGTCACCAGATTGTTTTAATGGACTCTGTTTATGCTGGTTTCATTCTTAGAAGAATTTGGATAGATACATGGAAGAAGTTCAGCTTGTTTAAGAGTCTTATGGGCTTTTAAACTATGAAACGGCACTCTAATAAGGTACATCACTAGTAATTTGGGATTTTATTTTGACTATTGTTTTAATAAAACAATATCATACTATTGTCATTTCTTTGTTACTCTTTTAATAGTCCAAGCATTCTGTGGACATAATGACTTCAGAACATTCTGACTCATTTAACTGTGTATGAATTGATTTGCTCAAGAAACAGGAAAGGACCTGCAATAGTGTAATAGAAGTCACAGTTCAACATAGATGGTGTGTAATTACAAAGAAGGTGATCTGCAAATTGCAAAAATAGTATTTTCATCTGCTTTTCTGGACCTAATGTTAAAGTAACTCTGCCATGCTCAGGAATACAGGCTATTTATTCCTTTAGTCTTACAGTAATCAATACACTGAAACTAAGTAATTATTTATGTGCCCACTAAGATAGCAGAGTTTGAGTTTAAACAATACAGTGGTAAATTCTGACCTACTTTGGCCTATTAATTGTTATTACTGATATCATACACAAGCAAACAAAAATTTAGTTTGACATTCAGATCTTATACTCAGTTTGCAATACTGTAAGGCTTTGATTTTTGTAGCAGTTAACCAGGGTTCAGTACCCTTGCTAATGCACATTCTCATTTCAGCGTAACTGCAGAAAATCACATCAAAAATGTTCAGAAGCTATAAGTTTTCTATAAACACATAGCTTTAGACAGCAGTGGTAGCCCACCGTTACGTAAAAAGCTATTAAAAAATATCTGCACAGTCTGAGTGAAGGCGGCTGGTAGATCTGAATGGTACAGTGCTATGCAGAGAAATCCCAAGTGTTCTGGGCCTCAGAAGCCAGTAAACTGTTCTTCCTGAGTGATACTACTTACCTTCTCAGCAACACTACATAGTGTAGGGGTGAACCTTTGGAAAATGATTTAAGCTCTAATGAGTTATTTGTACTTGTTCAGATTTAGCTTCAAATAGCTGCACCGTGCATCAGGCTGGGCAGTCATACCTTCAAAGAAAATAAACGGCAGTTAATACACAGCTTTCTCTGGGCTGGAAGAAACATGCCAACAGTACAGCCTGCAACGTTCAGTATTTCTTTTCTGCAACTAAGCAAAAAGCGTTTACATCTCTGCTTCTGTGAGTTGTAGCTAGTAATTTTTTCAAATAAGTTTATAATAAAAATTCTAAAGTAGTTGCAGGAACAAACTGCTGCAAGTGCAAATAATCAGCATCAGAAATTTGCTTTTCTAAAGGTGCACATAAATCAGCTACACTGTTTTCTCAAAGTTTTCAGTTGTCTTATGGTGTTTTATTTCTTCTGATGTTCCAAGGAATGGTCAGAAGCTTCTGAAAATTAAAGCCCTTAAAGTGGTGAGATTTACATATTTACTTACTTTGCAGGAAATATAAATTAGATAATTTAAGGTCATTCTGTAATTGGTATCTGAAGTACATTTTGGTCTGGAAAACAATGATTTCAAATATCTTTCATCAGAAAGATGTCATTACATTTAAATTTTACAGACAAATTTAAGTGTATACAAATTCCAGTTGCAAATAGTAATTTGAAAAGCATCAAATATATTGCTGAAGTAAAACTTCCTCTCCATTTCCTGGTTCTGTAGGTTCTTCAACGTCTGAGCTGCATGGCACTGAAGAACAAAATATTCGTGGTGGCAAACTTAGGAACTAAGCAACCCTGTGAGCACACCGACCCTCACTGTCCACGTGATGGAAGATACCAGTTCAATACCAACGTGGTGTTCAATGATGCTGGTACGCTGGTAGCCATGTACCGTAAACACAATCTGTATTTTGAATATGCTTTTGATACCCCTCCAGAGCCTGACTATAAGCTCTTTGATACCCCTTTTGCTGGCAAGTTTGGTATGTTTACTTGCTTTGACATACTCTTCTTTGAGCCAGCAGTGAATCTAATCAGACAATACAATGTAAAACAGATTGTCTATCCGACTGCCTGGATGAACCAGCTCCCACTCCTGTCTGCTGTAGAATTTCAACAAGCTTTTGCAACAGCTTTCAGTGTCAATATTTTAGCAGCTAATATCCACCACCCTACCCTGGGCATGACAGGGAGTGGCATATACACTCCTGTCAAATCATTTATCTACCACAACATGGAAAGTTACGGTGGCAAGCTCATAGTAGCAGAAATTCCCGTCACTAGTGCAGATTACAAAACCAATTTGGAGCATAATGAAAGATTTAGAGAGAATGTACATCATTCATGCACTACTTTTACAAGTACCTCAGGGGATGACCAAGTTTGCTTTATGGAAGGACAGGAGGCCCCTGGCAAAGTATCAGAAAAAGGAAATGAACAGTCGCCTCCCCTTTTCTATGCAGAAATGATGCATGACAATTTTACTTTCGTTCCTGTATGGGCAGAAAAAGGAGAACTTCAGGTTTGTGCCAATACTCTTTGTTGCTACTTAAATTATAAGAGAGATGTTTTAACTGATGAATTATATGCTTTGGGAGTTTTTGATGGGCTCCATACAGTGAATGGCATATACTATGTCCAGGCCTGTGCATTAGTGAAGTGTGGAGGTCTCAGCTTTAGCACTTGTGGGCAGGAGGTTACACATGCCACTGCTCTGATAGATTTCCAGCTATGGGGAAATATGAGTACTCCTTATATCTTTCCTTTACTGCTGACATCTGGTATTACCTTGGACTTTGCTGATCACATGGGCTGGAAAAACAACCACTATTTCCTAAGCAAAAATAGAACTTCTAATGGCCTACTGACAGCTGCTCTGTATGGACGATGGTATGAAAAGGACTAGCACAGATATTTAACTGCATCAGATTTTCAGAGCGTATACCTTAACATGAACTGTTGAACATCTGTACTTCAGAATCTTCAGGTACGTTTGTTATATGACTGTCTAATTAGATTCTACATTTGAAATGATGACCAAAGAGACTATAAACCAAGTGTGTACCTTGGAAGCTTATGTCTTTCCACAAGTATCTGAATTGCCTTGCAAGTCTAAAGGCTTGTTACAGTGTGTTTGAGATACTTTATGTTAGGAAAGTAATCTCATTTCAACTGAATTTGCCCCTTTTAATTTAGTTCTTTGGTTCTCTGGGATTCTGGTGGGAGTGGAAGTGAAAGAAGTAGAAAACCATTTAAAAAGGAAGAAAAGTAGGAAAGGGAATGGCATTGATTACACAAATATATGCAAGAAAATAGATGCATATACCTTGAATAGCATCAGGTTCTGATTTCTGGTTAGAGTGCTAAGGTTTTTTCCTTACTTTCAACTCCCTTCCCCCCGCTCCCATCTGAAATCTTTACAATTTCCTGCCCACTTGCTTGGCTGTTAGCAACCTCAGTGAGTTATCTCATACTTTTTAACAGTAACTAAGCAAGTGTTACCACTGTGAACATCTGTGGAACAACCAGTCTGGGAAAGGGTATATCAACTGCTACACCGAAACAGCCTTAATTAGGGCATAATTTCCATGCCCCTGTGCAAGAAATTATGTTTAAATAAAGCTCAACGAGTATCAGCAACTATGTTATACTACTTTAGTACTCTGACTTTCCCATTTTTAAAGAGAAGTCATTGCATGTCTCTTTTGAGACAATTCAAACATTGTTTGTAAATTCATTCAATAAGAGCTGTGAAAAGCAGATAATGAATTGCGGGGCAGTAGGGTTTCTATATAAATTGCGTGCCAGGTGGCAGGTTCCTGCTGTTGAAACACAGCATTCTTTCCATAGCCATAGCTAGATTGGATGCTATAAATACTGTCATGCAATGACAAACTTTTACTGCAGTGGAGATGCTTGCAAAAGGATGTTTAAAGGATATTATTTTGGCCTTAAAATTAGAGAAAATAATTTCTTCTGAACCATTATAATTTTGGGGCTCTCATTGGCTGTTATAACTTTATCCGTGTAATAGCTGTTAAGTAACTGACTAATAAACACAATTGTTCCTTTGGTGCATCCTTGTCTTCCGGGTGCTAAATCTGTTGTCCTAGTTGCTGGGAGGAGCTGTGAACAGGAGATGTAATTCTCAGTTTGGCTGAGGCAGTTCCAAAATTTGTTCAAAGAACTGCAGCAAGAAATGTATTATACTGCTCAATAATCTGCTTTGGACAAATTCACTTTCAGGTTTCATAAAGGAAAATAGTCACATCATTTACTGAAAGCGCGAGAAGCCCTTAGCAGAGCTGAAGGTCGCACAGGCAGAAGAAACATACCCAGAAGAAACATGCCTATATGACCATCATTTCCCTTCAATGGATATAAACAGTTTTAGTAAAGCTTCCTAAATGTTTTCTGTCTGGGAGAAAAATCAAACCAGAAAGCATGGACTTTCCGCCATACAAGAAATACAGCTTAAATCAAGAACAACTTTAAATCAGCAGATTATTTTTAATGTGTTCAGGATGTGGAAGATGTTTGTACTGAGACAAAAGAAATAACCTGAGAAGGAGTAGGGAATGCTGTCTGTGAGGCGCCTTGGTACTGCTGAGGGGGAAAAAAAATCAGAAAAGCCCTGTCCAGCTAGGGGTAACAGCACACAAGCTGGAAGTATTAGGGATTTCAGCATAAGGGATGTGGTGCTGAGTTATCCAGGTAGTTGTGAGGATACTCTGAAGATGTTGAAAGTAACTGCCAGAAAATACAGCAAAGAAATGTCACGAACAGGACTTTGGAGTTCAGTTCTTGAGAGGCATGTGAACAGGCTCAGAATGTCAGAAACGAGTAATGGAGTGGGACAAGCAGTTCAGAACAAAGATCTTCAAAACGCGCAAAGTTGGTGCAAGCTTGTATAAGTAGACCTTTACAGGGAGATGACTAGATTAAAGTGACTGAGCATCAAGAGGCTACTGCAACCACCACGGAACAGAGGTGCAAAGCCTTGTGGGGTGTGGCCCAGCCTTGCCCAGGCTGTGGTCTTTCTTGTAGTATTAATTAACACACTGGCATCGCAGAAAGCCCAAGAGTTAAAGTACCACAGTAGACTGATCACCCTTTTTGGCTGCTTCAGATATACCAGCTGAACTGAAGAAAAGAACCAAATGATAATTCAGAACTCGAGAGAACCTGAACAGCGACTGAGCGACACACACAGATTCAGGGGCTAGAATGAACTAATGCCACCTCCATTTATGCATATTAACAAAAGTGACAAAATATCAGTAATTACAAATAATCAGAGGCCAAAGTGAGAGTTTTCGCTGAGTCAGGTTTTTAGTGGTCAGTAGTAACAGGAATATTTCAGACATTTGTTGTGCCTGATCTCCTCCTGGAGCTGGGGCAACAGCAGAAGCCACAACCAACAGTTAGCAATACCCACAGCAGATCAAGCTCTTAGTAGAAGAGATTAGAAAAGTTGAATTTGGTAAGAAGTTAATGAATTTCAAGAAATATCTTGAAGATTTATTATAAAACTATGGAGGCAGCTTGTATAAGGGACGTTTGGCAGGGGAGAGGGAATATATATAGAAGAGGGAATGAAACATTACATTTTGCTTTAAAACTGTTACAGTGTCTGAGGCTGAGACATCAGTGTCAGTCCTTCTGAGCTGCAATGCAATGAGAAGAAAACCTGCACACCTGTCACTAAAAAGGGTTGGAAGTGAGGCCTTCTTTTGTTCTGCTGTGAATTCGAAGAGCTAAATTTCTGATTACTGCTACTGCAATTTTAATGCACAAGACAATGTAAGGTGTTCTTAAATGTTTAATGATATTAATAACTTTAAGACAGCTTGAATGACTCCTCAGATTCCATATTATTCAACCATGTTCACAGATACATAGTGAAATATTGCAAGACTCAGCTTGAAAATTGTTAAAATGCAGTACGGGAAGACAGGGAGTTCAGTTTACCATGATATACAGTGACTAAGGAAGCATTGATAATTTAGATACTACTTCATTTGAAGTAAAGTATCAATGCTACAAGATCGGAATGCCAGGTTGGAAAGAGTTCCATCAGATGAGAGATGAGTCGAAACAGGAAAAACAAAATCATGCTGCAGTTTGGGGATGTTAGTCAAGGCTAACTTTGTTTCCCAGGGAAAAAACCAAGGCATTTTGCTGAGCTTCAGGTTACTGATCAGCTGAAAAAAAATGCTCCTCCCAACGGCTGAAATCTGTTTTTCTTTCAGTAGGTAGGTAAGGATGTGTGGATCAGACTAAGGGCCCAGCTGTCGGACTGTACATGACAGCAGGGTACTGTTTTCTTAAAAATAACCACTTGTTTTGACACTTCAAATGGATACATCTGGTTCTTTCCTTAACAGTCTTCAAAATATATGGATATACATGAAACTACATGAAAATAAAGCCAAAGCTATCATCTTAACAAGAGAAATCAACAGATCTGTATTATGTCTATATTTAGAATCTCTGGTTTAAGTCTGTAAGGAAGACTGAGGTTTCATAAATTCTTACCTTGTCCAATTCATACAGTAGTCACAGCTACTGATTTATAAAGTGTTTTATTCCTAATCTGGAAGAATTTTTCTTCAACCATCCATCAACTTCTGCAGCATATTAAAAGAAAAGGAAGTTGTCACCAGTCATTAGAGATTACTGCAAGCAGCCATAATTACCAGTTATCTCAGATTTAAGGATTCATATGAATTCGCTGGATAAACTTCAGGAATTTCAATACTTGCTGTTTTTCAACTGATCTTAAATGTACTTAACTGAGTTTTAATATGGATCTATGGAAATGGTGTTCAAAGTCTAAACTACTTATTAGGACATGATAAAGGCCAAAGTTAATACTCTGAATCTAGTCTGGATAGTTCAGGGAGTGTCTCAGCACAGACGAACGCTTTTAAAACAAAAACACAGTGGCCTTTGCACTGAGAAGTGGCTAAGTACTGTCAGCAGTCACAGAGTGGACAAAGGGGGAAGTGAGGAGAGCACTCCTGCAACTGCAGGCAGGGAATCCTACGGACCTCCCTCTCCTCACTGCTGTACACCCCTCAGCAAAGAGCACGCCCTCCACTTCTGCAGAACTGCTGCTGCTTCTAACATAGCTTTCTGCTTTTAAGATGTGAACCTCACTCTTCCAAATACGGAGTTAGGATTATAAGCTCCCCTGACACATCTGGCACTGTAAAATGTTTAATTGCATGTTTAGTCGTAGAACTTCTCACAACTATCTGCTCTCACTGGTATTCACTTCTGCTTAGAAGGTTTTACTAAGCTCTCTCTCTCAAACTAGAATATAAACAGAAAACAATATTTGGATTATTACAGTATTTGTTGCTTTTAAATGGACAGAATCTTTGGGCAAGACAGGAAGCTAATTCCTAAAAACACAATTATGGGGCTGAAGAACCTATGAACGTTATCAGCCATACATAACATAACAGCTTTGGGTTTTCTTAGCACCCATTTTTCAGATGTTAACTGAAGCAAAACTTATATGGTTGTTTTGGAGAAATCCTGGTGCTGGATAAGCAATAAATAGTAGGAAGAAATAAAGAAGTAGGAGGCAAGACTTCATACAATTTTACAAGAAAAATCTTCTTTACAGAAGGGTCACTCCTGAAAGGAAAGGAAAAAACACAACAAAAAGAAAAAAAAGGAAGAAAAAAGATGAACTCTTGATTGTGTCAGGATCGGGCATTTACACAAACACAGCACTCTCTGAAAACAACAGTTACTCAGTCCAGTAAGTTCTGTGCTAACCTGGCATTTTCTACGTTTATCCCGAGAACTGAATAACCCATAAAACAAAGCAGCAGTCGGAGTGCTCAGAAAGCTGATCAGAGCTGGTTGTTGTCATTACCCACGTCCCTTCATTTTATTTTTTTTTCCCTAGTATAAAAAGGGTTTCTTTTATCCCACAACTTCAGTGATCCAGCTGTATTTTTTTGCTCTTTTCTGGTGAAAACTCAAGTGGTTGTTTGGATGAAGGGAAAAAAGAAGAGGGTGCAGAATCATTTTCTGGAAAGCAGCAGACGTCCATTCAGGTATGAAGATTAAAAAAACCCGATGACACTGACTGCAGGCAATGTTATTTGTTTTACAGAAACAAGGAACCTTCTGTTTCTTGACCTCTCATTAGGAAAGCAAACCAGAGCAGTGAGTTTTTTTAAACAAACTTTGTTCCATTTTAGGAATCATATTTTCTAGTAGGAGTCCCACTTACCACTTACAAGGCACAATTACTGTCCTATCCATTAAGTAAATTCATGCAAACTGAGATATCCAGGCTCACTGGCTAAGCTCTAAATGAGGAGACATGCATGCAACTCTGAATCCCTAAACAGAGTTAACAACTTGTAGTTAAAATCAAACATCTTAAAAACTTGACAGCTTCATTAACAGAAACATCTAATTGTTACCTTTCCAATAGTGCAGATGCTACTTGCCATTTTCATTCAAGTGAGGATGAATGGATCCATGCTGTTTCAACCTCAGTATTTAGATAGCTGGAGTGAATCTCAAGACAGACCAATACGGACCTTTTGAGCTGCCCGCACGCTCGACCAAAGCAAGTCAGTCACTGCCATGGAGCTGTGTACTTTGAGGGAAGAAAACAAAGATCACCATCGCCCTGAAGTCATCTAATTCTGTTCCAAGACAAACACTGCGTATGCAAACAACAAACACAGGCAGAAATGGTTAAAAAAGTGGTATTTAAAAGAAAGCCTAGAGGAGTAATTAATTAATCTAACATTTAAGGTTACTTGAAATTCCAATAGCTCATCTTCAGTTTAGGATTACAAAGCCTTTGGGAAGCAGATTTTATAAATTCTAACAGTTCAACAAAAGAGACTTTGCCATTAACACTTAATAGATACAAATAAATTATTCCTTCGTAGAACTCACATTTGGGTTTTATTATATTCCGTAAAATATACAAGAATCTTGAAGTACTGAAAGAGTGCAGGTAAATACAGTATTCAAGCAGTCACTATTTCTATGTACATGCTCTTAATTCTTCAAAAAAACCCACAAAATTATCAAACAGATCAAAATATTGTCCCGTGTTTCTACTTTATGTTCAGAAAACCAGCTGATAATTTACAATATCATAAAGATTTCCAGTTTCACAATACAAAAAGGATAAAAAGGAAATTTGAATCGGTTTGCAGTAATTTATTTGTAATTTACCAGGACACGCAAGGATTCCTTGCATGTACATAAGCCATTTCACTTGAAAAGTAACAGTTTTAATTAAAGCAGAGCCAAATAAAGTAAATATTCATATTTAACAGATTAGACTTCAGCTTGCTTATGTCACTTTTTCATTCTTCAGGCAATTAAAAAAATGCAGTAGTCTGTTATAAATAAAAAAGATAAAAATCTTCGTGTGAGGCTGAACTACATTACGGGGACCTGCTTCTGCTGTTCATTTCTAAATGGAACACAACAAAGATACACAGCTCTTCCCACAGACCAGACACTGTACTTCTTTCTAATAGGGAAATATACTTTTAAATTCACCTCCCCCTCCCCCGGTAACTCCAGGATTCAAAAAAAAAAAAAAAAGAAGAAGTGATACAGATTTACAATTTGAATTTTACGTACAATTTTTTTGATGTAAAGAAGCGGACCAATCGTTGCAAAGAACTCTCAGTCCCAGTGGGGTTATGGAGACGTTTCCATTCTCTTTATGCAGTTTCATAGTTTCCAAGTTACGTATTTTAAATTAAAAAAAATCTCAATTCAAACCACCAAAGTTCAACAGCCTAAACCTGTGCAACAATGACCGTTTCCCTCCCCCATCTCCCACCCTTCCCTTGTTTATTACACTGTACATTTTTCACCCTGACTTCACCTTGTTAGCTGGTTTAGTTTTAGTATTAGAAAAGTACGACAAGTTCCATTTTCATGTTGTCTAAAAGAAAAAGAAAACAAAACTTAAAAAATAAATCTGCTTTCTTTCATGGTACATTTAATAGTGCTGGAAGGTTTTTAAATGGTAAACAAAAAAAAAAAAGTCAACACTTAAAACCAAATCTAAGCTTCTTTCCCAGAAGTAATTAAGGTTTGGTTAAAACAACTTCTGAAAGAATCTATTCCAGTTTTCACAAAAATGTATTTAAATAAAATAAAATAAAAAAAACAACAACCTTTTAAGTTATTTGGTCCTTTGGCAGTTTGCAGCACAAACAATGCCTACTGTACCAAACGCTTTTATTGCCTTCAAAATGATTTTTGTTTTATTGACAATATTTAAATCTAGTATCCTCTGTGTTGTACAACAGTGTCGTTCATTTACATCAACGAGGGTGCCCAGTCTGCAGAAGTTACTCCTGGCACCAGAAACAGAATGGTAGAACAGTTAAATAAAGCAGTTTTGACATTCTTTAATTTTTTTTTTTGCCACGGTTTCCAAGAATTTATTCAAGAATTTCTGCTGCTTCTGCAAAATATGCTCTTAAAAATCCTTCCAGAGTCTCATGGATTTTGTTATATGCAACCACAATAAAAAGCATCTTCCAAAGGTCGCTCCTCTTTTTGTATTCAAATTCCAACAGCTTTTTTCAAAAGCACAAATGTGACGACCTTCCAGCATTAGGGGTCACTCTTCAGCCCTACAAAATGCAGTGTTCAATAGGTCTCAGAATCTGAGTCATTGAGTTCATCTTCTTCTGTATAGGGGTAGCCATCCTCCCTGCCAATATTGTTGAAAGTACAGTAAGAGCTATGATCACTCCTCATGATTGGCAAGGAATCGAAGGTGACAGTTTTAGAGGTGTTGGTGTAATGATTAATGGCATTGAACGTAAGGGAAGGTAAAGTGCTGCTTGATGAAACGGGCATCATCGTGGCCAGGATGAGCGCAAGGCAATCGGCCACATCCTTGTTGGGTGCACAGGCCAAAGCTGGTGTGTAACCTGGAAGCCAAGAAAAATGAAACAATAACGTACAAATTTGCCCAAGGTCATGTCATCTTTCAGCTGCAAAAACGTTTCATATTACTTAGTTCCACACTGTTTAAAAAGGGCCATAAAATTAAATACATCACAAGGTTTTTTTGTGGGTTTTCTTGTTTTGTTTGCTTGTTTGTTTTTACAGCTTTCAGTTACAAATGCATCCCAGACGTCAGAGTTCTTTGGAACAGAGATGTCAGGGTTTTTTAACCAGTCAGATGTTCTCGGCTAACCATAAAAGCCTGGTTCTGGAAATGGTGCGGAGGTCAACTGGCCAAGGGGGTGGAACTAAGTGCATTCACCAGAGCGTCACTGCAGAAACTACAGCACATGAAATATTTCTTCACCCAGAAGCTTCCCTATCGCTGTTCATCACAGCATGAGCACAACTGCAGGTGACAGCTAATTCTACTGAGCAGACAGACTAATGGCCATGTGCGTTTGAGAGCCTGAAGTCCCACACTACTCCAACTTCACAGCTTGAAGGTGTACAGCATCTAAGTTTAAAGTTACTTGTATGCATTTAACAATGCATGGCTTTATGGTAAGCCGCATGATAGGCTTCTATTCCGATACTTGGAAAGCATGAAAAATGAGGCAATGCTTATTTTACCAGCAAGTATTGCAACCACTAAGGTATCGCCTTTATTGCAGAAATGATCCAGGTCAGGTTTTAGGACATGGTTCAGAAATAGTTACCATGAGGTAAAACCACACTGCACAGAATTTTTAAACAGACAGGCCCCCGATGGAAATTCATTGCAGCTAGAACATAAGCAAACAGCAAGCAAGAGACAGCCTTGACTAAACAGCTCAGAGTCAACAGTGACAGTCTCCAAAAGCAATGGAAGAAGAAGTGGACATTTCAGATGTGTAAGACAATACTCATTCACCTCTAGAGCATCCCACTACGTCACATAAAAATAAAATTGAAGGTCAACAAAAAGATAAACTAACTTGTTTCTGTAAAAACAAAACAAAATAAAACACAACACAACTCTAAAGCCCAGAATTTACACTAATATTCAATTTTAGATTTTGAGCTTCCATAAGTAGGAATGAAATACCACATTCTAGTTCTTTCCCTCACTCTCTCTCACCTCAAAGTATTCATGACTTTGTCTACACAGCACTTTGAGCTGGGACATTCACCTCAGAGTATTCTCTATGAATACACTCAAGGCCGCTTGAGATTTTATAAGTGATGTAATTGTTATTAGAAAGAAATGCTAGGAACCACAGAGAGGAATTAGATTAGGTAGCACTGAGGAGCTGCCTTAAATTTAAAATATTAGCAGATTTAAAGAGAAGAGTGTATGTTAGTTAGATCCTCGGCTGCCAGAGAACTGTGACTTCTGTACGGACAACTATTATGTCAAAGATCCACTCCAGCATGGCACTGATGGGCTGCACATGAAGAACCCACAGACCCACATAAGACAGATGATGTCTCCAGTTGGCATACTGGAGTTGGCATACTTCTCAGCTGGAGCTGAGAAGCTGAAACTCAAAAAAAAAAAAAAAAAAGATGTTTTCCTGTCTTTTCATTCTAAGGAGTTTCATTTAGCAGTTACCCTTTACCCTATTTCAGGGGAGGAATGATCCTTAAATCTCCCATGTCAAATTAAGCAGTGCAATTTGAGAAGCCCTGTAAAAGGAAAGTCACAGCAAACATCAAGATAGAACAAGCTTTCTTTCCAAAAGGGAAATTAGTTAGAACTATTAATCAGGCACGTCCTGTCCTGAAAAAAAAGACAAAAAAATCCCACAAAAATGTAACAAAACAAGAAAACAACCACTAAAAAAAACAACCCCAAAACAGCTATTGCTTTTAGTTACAAGGCATACTGAAATCATAGATTTAATATGAGAAAATATGTACACAAGAAGTCAGTAGGTCTCACGTACTTTTGTCCTTACAAGGTGTGGGATTTATTCTCTGAGATTTTTAAAATTCCATTACGTTTTCTTACTCACATGTGACAAAAAGCTCTAATGAGCCAGAAGCTTGAGACCCACTGAGATCTGTCATTCACACTCACTTTTAAAAGCTAACACCAATATATCTACCCCAGACAAAATGCGTGGCCATTCCATCCACCTTAACAACTGAAGGTTTTACTTTACCTTGACCATTATGTTTTTCTGTTTTCAAATACACCAGTATATTCATAGCATACACATTTTCAAACCATATACTTATACCAAATATTTCTATACCATGAGCTGCACTGTACTGAAAACTTTCCCTTTGCTAAAATGGCCCATCATCAACATGCCGCTTTTTCTATGGGGGAACCTACTGGAAGGTTCATATGAAATTTCTACATGGTTACTGCATTCCAGTGAGTTGAGTTTAAAAGCACAGCTGCTTATGGGGAAACAAAGTTAAATTCATTCTCACCGTTTTCATCCACAGCAAGTACACTTGCTCCCTTTCCTAAGAGTTCTTGAACTACAACTGTTAGTCCATTTCGAGCAGCAACATGCAGAGGTCTGTGAAGACAAACAAACTGGTAGATAAACCTTAGAACAAACTGTAATACACAAGACGGATAAAATGCATTGTGTTAAATGATTACTGACATATTTTTGACATATTTTTACTCATATGTTATTTACCTAAATATAGGAGAAACAAAACGAAGATGGAAAAAATTAACAAAGCCATTTTCTTGCTACAGAGAATCAAAACAGAAATAGTTCTGTTAAAATAATAATTTTATTATTTTTTTTTATTAATGGAACCACATATGAAGAAGTAGCTGCTGGAAATGATACGCCTGCTTATGAACTTCATCACAATAAAAAAGTAGTCACCTATACTTTCCTGTTAATAAATCCTGTTAATAAATAATTGAACAGTTTTAATAGATTGTGTCACATCTGAGATCTACTGTGTCACCAGCAATAATCATTAGAATACAAATATTGGTACATTATTTATTGCGTGTTAATGCTTTCAAGACACGCAGAAGCATTTCATCAATCTGCCTTCCAGAAACCACTACATTCCTTTGTGACCAGAGATGAAAAATTCAGACTGCATAAAGCAAGGAGAAAAATAAATTACTTTTGAAAACCTCAAACTATTAACCATGTCTTGTGAGGTGTCTTGATGCATCAAGGAAAGTGTAACTTTACCACAACTACTCTGTATACCTTTTTTAAATGAAATAGTTTTCCAGAATCAATTCCCATTGGTTAAAGAAATCCTACCACCACTCTGCAGGAAACAGAATAATCAGCTTCCTTCCACTCTGCTTTCTCTTGCAGATCTCTCAGAATAGTTGGTAAGACTGTAGGGGTTTGAACATGACAGATTCCAGAAGGGATGCAAGGCCAGAGAAATGTACAAGTTACTTGGAAGTTTTGCTGTTTATTGTAAATGGTCTGTGTGATAACATTCCTAAAGCAATCCAAGAATTTATGTGTGTAACTTAGCTACTTATCAGGTGTCAAATATTGCCTACAACACAAACACATTCTTTAAAAGGAAAAAAAAATGCAGAAAAGTTATTTTAGTAGTTCATTCTGAAATACATTTCACAGTATGACTTAGACATTCTAAGCTTTCCTTATAACCATGCTAACAAAACAGGCTTAATTCTA